GTCAGACTGAATTATAAACTAAGAATTGGGTTTTTTTTTTGTTCAGAACAACTAGAAGGTCAGTATGTTAGCCATACCGACGGCTGGGGGGGGGGGGAAACGAAGGAGTGTTTGGAGAATATTTTTTCTTCCTTTAATGAATGCACAGTTTAGAGAAGCCAAATAAATAGATTGAATAGATTGATACTGCCCCAGAGAAGGGCCTGTAAGTTCAGGGAATGGGAAAGGCGTGGAAAATGTAAACATGGATCTTTTTATTGACTTCCTTCTTTGGGAACACATCTTTTGCTTGTAAATGTCCAAACACTGAGGTGGAGTCCAGAGACCAAAAAAATGAAGTTCAAGGACAAACTTGGTATTGCTGTGGCCCTGGCTGGAATCTTAGCTGCCTAATATAGATGCAAATCTAGTCTGAGCCACGGGGAGCTAGTGGGTTGGCCACTTGAGAGTGGAATCTTAGGTGTGGAACTTGAAGTTGCTATTACAGCAGGAGAAAAATCCCATTGTTTTGAACTGGATTGGGATCTGTTTACCTCGGGGGAGGTATAATTTGAGATCATTGGGACTCTGACTTTATGAACTCTAAGGATTATAATAATTTTTTTTCTAGGAACACATGTTAAAAGCAGAAGATGGGGTCTAAGCACGGCAGAAGGTTCTGCACTGTGGCGTGGCTGTGTGCAGGAGGCCAGCCACCTGGGCCTGAATCCCCACTGTAGCTGAATTTCATTGAATAGGCCAGGTTTAATGACTACTGTGACAGAGTGCCCAGGTTATAACTGAAAAACCACTAAGGACTCAGGGGATCTCCTGGAATAGGAGCCTACTGATTCCCCAAAGGTTGAGCTGAGCTGTGTGGTGTCTCTCCTGAACTTAGTCTCTTTGTAAGGAAATCTCTGAAGGGACTGAGACACGAAGCCTGGAAACAATGTGTGTGTGGGGGTGACTTTTCTGCATGGTAGGTAAAGTAGACTACAATTTTTAGTGTCATCGAACCTTTGATGCGACAAGCCCATGAGTAAAGGGCATATATTCTCAAGCAAAGGTTCAGATTTCAGGATGAGAAGTTTACCTTCTGCAGTCCAAGTCCCTTAATTCAGTTCCATTCATCTAGAGCAGTGGTTCTCAGCTTGTGGGTGGAGACCCATGGTGGGGGTCGCGTATCAGATCTCCTGGTTACCAGATAGTTACATTATGCATAGGAGTAATAAAATCACAGTTATGAAGTAGCAACGAAAATAATTTTATGGTTGTGGGGGGGTGGTCGCCGCAACATGAGGAAGTGTAAAAGGGTCACAGCATTAGGAAGGTTGAGAACCACTGGCCTAGAGGGTCGTGTGACTCAAACAGAAGATGGCAAGACAAAATGACCAGGGAAACATTGTATGAATGTGGCTACAGACTGAGGGCAGCCATGGTATGGGGAGCTGTAAAGAGGCCAAGGGTGCTGCCTGCTGGTACCATGATCTTGGCCTAGTGAAGCAAAAGTGGTTCAGATCTTTGAACACCTGAGGGGATAAACTTGTTTTTAACTGTTTGTTACAACAGCTATAGGAAACTGACACAGAGGTTGGTCATGGCTGTGCCAAGAGAATGACGGTGATGAAATGCAAAGATTTGCAAAGATTATGTCCCGTGACAGGAAGCAAAGAGACCCTAAGCAAGCTGTTCCTCCCTCCCTCCCTCCTTGTGTTTTTGAGACTGGATCTCACTATGCAGCCAAAGCAGGCTTCCCTCCTGCAGTCCTCCAGAGGCTGAGGCAGGAGGATTTTTCTGTTGTGTTGTTTAGTCCTCAACTCTAGGCCAGCACACGCTGTGACGACATAGACCTTCACACAGTGAGATGGGACCTGTAGTGAGTGGTGACCTTTATTATTTTTAAAGGTGAATGAAATCAGACAAAAGCCTGGGAAATCTTCACCCTTGCTGTAGGGGACCATATTTTCGCCTATGCCTGTCATTTTTAAAAATTACATTTATTTACTCATGCATGGGAGTGGGGGGTGGGCATATATGCTATGATTGTATGGAGGTCAGAGGACAACTTACAGAAGTTAATTTTCTCTCTTTCTGCCACAGGGATCCTAGAGATTAAACTGATCTCTTGGGGACAGGCACCTTCATCTTATGTTCCATCTCCCTAGCTCTCTACCACACACACACACACACACACACACACACACACACACACACTTTGAGATAGGGCCTCCCCCTGAACCCAGAGCTCCCTGATTCAGTTAAGTTAAGGTCATCGAGCCCCAGGGATCCTCTTGTCTCTGCTCAGGTTTGTGCAAGCCACTACACTCCTGCTTTACACGTGTGTGTTGGGGATTTGAATCTGGGTCTTCATGCTTGTGCTGCAGACACTTTACCAACTGAACCATGTCCCTGGCTCTGGAAACAGCATTTTAGTGCTCATGGCCTCAGCACTCATAGAGTTCCTGACATACCAAAAGATGATCAATTTGGTTATGCACTGTGGTTTTTAAGTTTGAGAATTCTTTTAAGCTGATTCCAATGGTGGGTTAGCAGAGGGTGGCCTGGCTCAGCTCCCTTAGACATGGGCCAGGACAGTGCTCTGGGGCACAGATTTTACAGACTGAGGTTGTCTAGCATCGTGGCTGTAGAAGTCATGGCCATTTGGGTGTCCTGATTTTGAATGTTGCTCTGAAGACACCTTTCTTCCTTCTGTGAGCACCTTTCCCCACATGGCATTCCGACCCAACTCTAGGAGGCATCGCCTGACAAGGAAATGGAAGAAGGGCTTTGTGAAGCTAGGGTGTGTTACTAATTGTAAGACAAGCTGGAGCCTAAAATAAATTTTGGTTGTATAGGAGTTTAAAAGAAAAAGATATTTCCCATTCTCAACGTAGGCTCTTCTGCTCATTTTTGTAGCATTGCCATGTCCTTAAAACATCAAACATGACAGCCACATATTCAGCAGTATCTTAGGCAACAGCCACATATGTAAACTACAGGCAATGATACCATTGGTGACTCAATATAATTACACCCTCGCTCCTAAGCCCTGCCTTTCTGTGCATCCAGAGCACACGATAGATGTGATCGTATTGCTTTGCCCTTCAATTTAGTCGGGTAGGTAAGGAGCAGGCATCACTATTGTCTTCATCTCACATAGATAGTGAAAACTTTCCCGGGTGTGATCTGTCCACAAAGCCCCATTGGCAATAAGAGTCAGTGGGAAGGAAATGGCTGGAGCCTTAATTTAAAAGACAGGACTTCCTGTAGCGGCAACTCCAGGTCTCAGTGCTGGGATATTTCTAACTTCAGGCGTCCTCAGAGCCAGAGGGCACAGAGGGCTCATTATTTTCCTCCATCTGTGGATGTATAGGAAGGACTTGAGTACAAGATAACTTAATGAACTTCAGCAGTATGCACTGTTGAGTCTACAGTCCTTTCTTGTCTTTCTTTCCAAGACAGTGGGGGCATTGAAAACACAGCTCCACAAAGTAGGATCCATGGCAGAATCTGGAATACAAATAGGAACTTGGGTTTTATTTGTTTGTTTGTTTGGTTTTTTTTGTTGTTTGTTTGTTTTTTGTTTGTGCTAGGTGTGATTCTAAGGTAGGGGTGTGGCTCATTGGAGCAATGCTTGCCTAGGATATGTGAGGTCCTGGATTTGATCACCAGCTCCCCCCTCACAAATAAAATACAATAAATAAAAGGAGCAGTTCTGTGCTGTTGGAAACTTAAGGAGTTGTGAGGCCCATGCCTTCTGGAATGTGAGCCCTTTTGTCCAGAAACTTCGAGGTAAAGAATTCCATAGACAGCATTTGTTTAGTTAGTCGTAGTTAGGACTTAGTTGTCAGTAAGCCTGATGTGTAGTGCGTGTACTTAAATTCAGGAGCAAGCCCACGGGATTTGAACTCCTAACCTTTAAAACATAGGCAGCTCCTTTGGCTACCAGGCAAACTGGTTGGTTCCTATTTGCCAGGACTTAGAACTCTTGGGCAGACAGAGTTCCCATTGATTCCACAACTCCCACAGACTAACACTGAGAAGCCCAAAGTAATACCCATTTCAGAATGAGGCTTGGCTCCCTAAAGGGATTCTGGCCCCTTGACTCAGCCCCTTACCTCACTGTTACACTTTCAGGCTTGCAGCCTCATGGGGAAATCACACCGGAATGCACAAGCTTCCATCTTGCTGTAATGACACATTGTTGCTTTGTGAGGAGGAGGAAGGCAATTTTCTTGGACATCCTTATCAAACTAGAGCACTCACAGCGGCTTTTTGTTTGTTTGTTTGTTTGTTTGTTTTTGGTTTATAAAAGTCCCAACAGAGCAGGGCTGCTGGTGTCTCTGGGTGGTAGAGCTTCAACCTCATGGGCTATTTGTCCAGGGGTGGTAATTAAAATCAAAACCCTTTTTGCCTGCCACTTGGCATGTGTTAACTTTTCTCCAAGCAGTCAGAATTGTTCTGCACCCCCTTCTTTGAGTGATTTAATGATCACATCAGAAGATCAAGTCTCTTAAAATAGAGTCAGACTTCAGCTCCAACAAAGAATTTTCAGTTAAGAAAGAAACAGACTCTCAAGAGGTAGAACTGTTCCTAACATCTGACCTGAAAACGGAAAAAAAAAAAAAAAAAACAGGCATAGCCTGTGACATTATATGACAGAAGGAATGAACATATTCCCTAAAACAATAAAAAACAAAACAAAATAAAAAAGACTTGAAACTCATTCTCTGCAGGTTTTAAAGATAACCTATGCCAAAATCTGCTTTCTGGATTTTTTTTTTTTTTTTTAAATCCTGGCTCCTGCCTTCAGGTTTGGCTGGGAAGAAAAGCTTGGAAGACCATGGCTTGGAATGTGTGAATGTTAAATTCAATAGTGTTCCCTTTCTTTATAAAAAGCAAGGCTCTGCTATGACTGCATATATGCTTTGAGTCTCTTCTTGCTGTAGGACAGAAACAGTGACTGGATTGTGAGATTTCAGATTGGCTTCCTTTGATGCACTGCTCTCCCCTTGCAATAGGCCAACGTGGAGGAATGGCTGGACATGATCCATGGAGGGCCACCCAGCAGTTTGGATGAAGAGTCTGGATTAGAAACTTGGAATTTTCATGTCATCCTCCCAAACTCTGCAAACCTGGTCCACGAAACCAAAGTTTTCTAAGACTTTGAAGCCCAAAGGTGTGTGGTGAGCACAGGCATGGGGTGTGCTTTCACCTGAGGGGTCCTCCCTGGGCACAGGGGCCAGAAGTGGGATACTTTAATGAAATCATTAACATTCGTTGGAGCAGAGTTAGAACTAAAAATTGTCTTACCACAACTTATTCTAATTTACAACATATCCTAATCCAGATAAGCAGGGAAGTGCTATTCACCCTAATCCCATTCATGCCAGTGAACAACAGATACAAAATGCACTATAAGGTCTATCCCACATCATAGCTCGTATGTCACATACTTAGAAAATCAGCGATGATTACCCATGGAAAACAGAAGGCATTCTTTTTTTAACAAAACTGGAGAGTCTATCTTGGCACTGTACAATAAAGAGGAAGCTAAACCAGGAAAGGTATTCCCAGGAAAGAAGCAAATACCGAGGTCCTCATCACAGGACCTGTGAGTAATGCAGTTCTCTGTGCTTCAGTGGGAGGAGGATTATCCAGAAGGACCCGGGAATGAGCATTCTCTGTAATGAGCAAAAGCAATGAGAGTGTGGGATATGGGACATCGTACAACTCAGAAGATGATCCGAGGACATACTGAGCCGTGGTCAAAGGAGCAGGAATGACAGAGCAGCACTGTATGCTATCTATAGTTTCTTGCATCTGTGCATTTGTCTAAGTTAACAATGGCTTGCACACTCATCTTATACTGTGTCTGTTGACCTCATAAAATCGTATTAAAACTGTCTCTTTACCTACTGTTAAGCATAATTATTAGGGACTTTGGGGTCCTACTTAATGAATTATGTCTGCGTTGTGGTAGCACTTCTTGATCATTTGTTCTATTTGATGTCATACTTGGCGAATCTTTTCTTTCCCTTGGTTTGCTTTCTAGGGACAAACAAGCCAACTTCATATTATTATAAGAGTCCCATCATCAAATGAACTATAATTGTTACCTCCTGCCCCCCATGACAGTATCCTAAAAGCTTCAATGCCAGTAACTACTCTAACTTTATTCATGTTCACCTAACCCTGATGCTCTATTCACTTTATTTATTTATTTATTTATTTATTTATTTATTTATTTATTCATTTTACCATTTAACACACATGCACTGAGCACTCACTGTGACCTTGACTTTCAATAAGCTTACCAGACACAGCCCTGACACCCACAGTGCTTACAGCTGACTCGGGGAATATAGACACGAAATGAACAAACTGTTCAATGCTTAGGACTGCAAGTCATATGGAGCCCTGTGGAGGAAATGAATTTCCATTTACACTATTGGAAACCATGAGAAATGACCAGATTTTGATCTCAACAACAACAATAACAACAAAAAACCAAACCCAAGAGCTAAGACCAAAAAAAAAAAAAAAAGTTGGTGGCAGAATGGTGAGGGTGTCCTTTTTTTTAGATTTATTTATTTATTTATTTATTATGTATACAGTATTCTGTCTGCATATATCCCTGCAGGTCAGAAGAGGGCACCAGATCTCATTATGGATGGTTGTGAGCCACCATGTGGTTGCTGGGAATTGAACTCAGGACCTCTGGAAGAGCAGCCAGTGCTCTTAACCTCTGAGCCATCTCTCCAGCCCGAGGGTGTCCTTTTTAAGATTTATTTAATTTTAATTTTAATTTTGTGTGTATGATTATTTTGTCAGCAAAAAGGTATGTGTATCATGAATGCGCAGTTCTTGAAGAGGCCTGAAGAGGTCCCGAGAGTCCCTGAAATTGTAGTTAACAGATAGTTGTGAGGAGTCCAGTGTGCTGGGAATGGAACCCAGTTCCTATACAGGAGTGGCCAGTGCTCTTAAGGGATGACCCATCTCTCTAGCCCCAGGATGATGGGTTTTAGATAGAAGCTATGAGGAAGAGGTAGCATTTCAGTGTAGAACTGAAGGGTGAGAGACAAGAAACTTTATGAGTTAACACCTGAAACACTTCAAGTGACTGGAGTACTGTGGGCAGAAAAATGACAGGAGGTGGAGCTAAAAAAATTAAAAGTAAACCAGATTGGTGGTGCACACCTTTAATCCCAGCATTTGGGAGGCAGAGACAGGTGGAACTCTGAGAGTTTAAGGCCAGCCTGGTCTATAAAATGAGAGAGAGAGAGAGAGAGAGAGAGAGAGAGAGAGAGAGAGAGAGAGAGAATTCTAATCATGTGGGTACATGCTTGAAGGCCACAGAATGGTACTTAATTTTTGAATGAAATGCAATGGAGGCTGGAGTGTAGCCCAGTGGTAGAGTGCTTGCTTAGTATGTGTGAGACTCTGGGTTCCAGACTATCAATATGAATGAATGAATGAATGACTGAATGACTGCAGTAAGAAGCTAGGGAAGGCTTAAGCATGTTCTCTGAAGTCTCTCTAGTCATTGATGATGGTGGTGGGGGAAGCCTAGGAAGGAGGGCAGAAGAGGTTGGGATGGGGCTTGGGAACTCAATGGCGGTAGCGATGAGGGTGATGGACAGGTACAGAGAGCGTTGAGAAATATTTTGAAAGTGGAATCAATAGTATTTTGTAGTCGCTGACTATTATGGGAGGAGAACTTTGCAAAAAGACCCCTGATAGGTCCGGGACTTTAGCAAATCAACAGCGGGAAGGGAACTCTGTTTAGACAAAGAAGATGGGAGGAGTAGAGTCAAGATTTCTGCTTCAGATGATTTAAATGTGAGTTGTGGAGATATTTGAGCAGCCAGTTGGCTTACATCAGCTTGGAACTCAGAAAAAGGGTCTGGAATGCAGATAAATATGTATTTGTTAACAGTTCTTGACAGTATTTGAGGCCACAAGACTGGGTGAGATCATACAATGCAAAGTGTAGGGAGGAAGAAAAATGGGCTCCGGAGAGAGGGTGAAGTGTCTCTTTGGAGGCACATGATGGAGGCAGAGATAAGGAGAAAGACCTGGTTTTACATCAGCCCAAGCCTAGGATAAAAGAGGACAGCATGGTGACATGGAGACTGGGAAGGTTTCTCAGCAGTGCAAACCACTACACTACATACCTCTGAGAGGTTAAGAGGAGGCCTGGAGAGAATTGCATTTGGTATTGTAGCCATTTTACATGTTGAAACTGACTCTCACCAGCCCAGAGAACAACTGTGGGCAACTCTTCCCAATTCTGTAAACAGGAATGGCAAGTTGACTGCTTGAATTCAGCCATGGTGGGAGTATTTGCATCATGGAACCTGGCAGACACTTCTACAAGTTTTTGTTGTTTTTTTTTTTTCTTTTAAAAATTTGGTTTTGGGTTTATTTAGCGTATGAATATCTCATCTGCATGTATGTGTGTATGTGTGATACCTGATAGCTGAGTGGTCAGAAGAGGGTGTTAGATCCACTGGAGCTGGCGTTAAGACAGTTGTGAGTCACAGTGTGGGTGCTGGGAACAGAACCCGGGTCCTCTGCAAAAGCATCACATGTTCTTGACCTCTGAGCCACCCGTCCAGCTCCCTTTCTTCCTGACAGCTGTTTGTTGGTCATGCCCACTGTGTCATGTGCATCACAGCTCCATTTGTGATGGGGGTGGGTGGGAGGAGGACTGGTTTTTTGCTCTATCAGGTTCCATCAGAAAGTTACTAAAGATTTTCCATGGGCATGAGTTCTCTTCAGAGGGGCCAGCTGGGTGTCTAAGCTTTCTTTGAAGTGGGCTTCTACCTTTGCCACAGAATTCCCTGCAGTCTTAGCCCATTAGTGACTAACCTTCACAAATCTGATGCAGACCAACGGGGGAAGAAAAGATTCAGTGTGGTCATGGGAAGAATGTCTCCCAACTTTGGATGCTGTAATTCTGCAATGGCTGCAGAAATTCCAGGAAGTATAAGCAATAAACCACATTTCATTTACTCCTGGCCTTGTTTACATGGTAAAAAAATAATCATTAGGAAATTCCAGAACTCAGGACGAAGAGATTTTCCTCAGTATTTTTCTTAAGAAAAAAAAAAAAAGCTATTCTATGAAGATTAGCTGGAAGGTAAAATGTTTAATATTTTCAATACCATTAATAACTGAATTAGGTGATTTAGTAAGCTAATTAGATAAGCAGATGAAAGGCAAAATCATTTAAAGAACTATTGCTTTTTCTTCTTCTCAGTGTTGGGGATGGAATCCAGGGCCTCCCACATCCTAGGCAAGCATTCTACCACTGAGCTGTACTCCCAGCTGGAGAACCGTTGTTCTTGATTAAACAGTAATCATGTGCTTATTAAAGAACTGCTTGTTTATGAAATAATATTTCAGATTGTTCTGTCATCTAAAGGGGGGCTAAGGATAAAACTGGGGGCATTGCAGACACCTCCATCTGCTAAGGGAATCCAGGCAGCGCTGAAAATTTGTTCTTTGACACATCTTTACTCCAAACATGCAGCAATGATGAAGTTTATCAAGATTAAAATTTAAATAAACACTCCCGTAGTTCAAATCTGGAACAGAAACACCAAGCTGTGAGCTGAGCGGAAGCCACAAGCTTATGGGATTCTGGGGCTGGAATCAGGCAATATTAACTGGAGTTTGGCTCGTCCCAAGTAAATGAAAATCAAAGCGCTCCTTGCCCAGATGAAGACTGAAGCCAAACTCACTGCCTGAAGCCACAGGAAAGGCAGGCCTTTCTTGCTCATGAAAGGGGGCTGAAAGAGAGTTCTCACTGCCCAGGGCTGCTGCATTAGCCAACCATGGACTTAATGGACAGGGAGGACCAGCTAACCTGTGACCAGCAGGAAGGGCAGCTGGCCCAATTTGTATTGTCTTCAGTGTCACTGGGGTTGGGGCTTTGGAAGCATCATTAGTAGGTTGGAGTCTGAATGGATGCTTCCTACAGCCAAGTGTGGAATGAAGGCAATCTCTAAAACCACTGTACACAGAGGGGGAAGTCTGAGGGTGTTAGATGAGGGAGGGGGAGAGGGAGGGTGGGAGGAAGAGAGGGAGGGAGGAAGATAGATAGATAGATAGAAAAAATATTCAAGCCTAGTTTCCAAGTGAGCATCTCAACCAAATTCAAAGTTAAGACAACAACAAAAATATAACAACATGCATTTATGCCTTGTCTTAGTCATTGTTCTATTGCTGTGAAGAGACACCATGACCAAGGCAACTCATATAAAAAGAAGCATTTAACTGGGGCTTGCTTATACTTTCAGAGGGGTTAGTCCATTACCATGGCAGGGAGCATGATGGGAGCAAGGCAGCACTCATGATTTTTTTTTTAATCTTTTTTTTTTTAATTTGAATTAGAAACAAGATTGTTTTACATGACAATCCCAGTTCCCCTCTCCCTCCCTTCCTCCCCTACCACCCCCCCCAACTAAAACCCTACCTGTCACATGTCCTTTCTTCTAATCTACACCTGACTCAACCTTTCTGCTCCCTCATGACCTCTGCATTCTTCCTCCTCTCCCCTTCTCATTCTCATAGCTCCCTCCCCCCTCTTCCCATGCTCTCAATTTGCTCAGGGGATGGTGACCCTTTCCCGTTCTCCAGGGGACAATGTTTGTCTCTTTTAGGGTCCTCCTTGTTTACTAGTTTCTCTGGCAGTACTCATGATTTTTATTTTAATGAACTAGCTGAGAGCTAGTTCTGATCTGATCTACAGGCAGAGATAGAGATAGAGATAGAGAGAGAGAGAGAGAGAGAGAGAGAGAGAGAGAGAGAGAGAGAGAGAGCTGGACCTGGCATGGGTTTTTGAAACCTTAAAGCCTACCCCCAGTGACACACTTCCTCCAACAAAGCCACACC